TAAAGTTATTGGACGGTGATATTGTAACGATTTTCGTATCACAAAGAATTGAAAGTGACGAGAGAAAAGAAACATTCGTGTCATTAATCATTTTGTAAAGAAATAATTATAAAATCGAGGTTTATTCAAAAGAGCAGCGATTCGTCCGACTTCGTTCGAAAACTCGCATTAAACTCAGTTTATTGCCGAGTATCATTCTTTGTCCTCATGCAACTTTATCTCTTCTAGGAACCGAACTTCTTAAAAGGTCCAAGCATCTATTTTATGTTTCTCCTTCTATGTAGATTCTATATATCGAATTACTTTACAGTTTTGTCGAAAATAAATTATTATATTTATGGAATTCATACTTTCTAATGGACTACTATTGAAAATAGTTCTTGGAAAACTTCAAATATTTATAAATTAGATGAACAAAAATAGACAATACTTTAAAGTGTTATATTTTATGATTATATCATTAAGAAGGAGAAAATAATTATAATATTAAAATATAATATAATTAGAATATTCTATAATCGATTTCCTAGAACGCTAATATTTTAATTTCTTTGATTTTCTTGCGGAGAAAAATTATTATTGACTTATTAAATGTTATTACTGTTTTTTAATTGTAAATCTGTAAACAAGCTGAAAATCGACAACATACTTTTAAATTAATTCTAGTATTTATTTAGACAATCTTTAAAATAAATATTTCATTTTTTTTTAATATTTTAATTTCTTATATTCGATTAATTAAAAAGCATTTGCATTTATTTGTAGGTGAAAATTTTAAAATAAGTATAAAAACAAGTGAAACATATCGGTAAATTAAGTAGTTGCTTAAGGTTGATCGATCACATGGAAGTATCACTGGGACGGTTTTGCGTCCTTGAAACTAGGAAATAAAATATTCGTAAACTAACTTTTATACGGATGTTCAACTAGTAAGGATAGTATAGATTACAATAGAGGTAGGCCGATTTTGTTATATAGGAACTTTCATTACATAGATTGGGACAGACATGTCTGTATGAAATCAAACAATTTTGAACATACAGGCATCGACACGATATATTACCTTTAACATAACTTTTTATATTAACATAACTTTTATTTAACATAACTTTTTTATTTAACATAATTTTATTTTATTATCTTTAACATAACTTTTTATATTAACATAACTTTTATTTAACATAACTTTTATATTTGAAAATAACAATTCTAACAATTTTAACTATATGTTATTTTCACTACACGTCATTGTGGAATATCGGAACATTGAAATTCAATATTATAACATTTCTCTCTCTTTCAATATACGTATATGATACAATGTATTTAAAATTTGTCAATCGTAAATTTCCATTATTACAATTACTGTAGTATGTAATTTTATGTTAATTTTCTATAATTACTGTAGTATGTAATTTCATGTTAATTTTCATGTTAATTTTCTTATTTAAGGTAATGAAAACTTAGATAATGAAATACGTATATTTTATTTTCTTTCATATTATTTTAAAATTATTTAAAATTATTATAACTTACGCGGAACAAAACAAGATATTTGAATTGATATTTGATATGAAAATGTTGACATTGGATTAAAAAGTATAAAATATATGGATGTATGGAATGGATATGACTTTTAATACAAACAAATCAAAATTTATAGGTTTTTTTCGACTATGATTATCGCTATTGATGTTAATTATTTTTACAGATTGAAAGAAGAACTTTTATCCAGTTTTTTTAATTGTAGAAGAATTTTTAATGAAATTAATTATAAGCGTACCATATTTCTCATGTAAACTTCAAAACCCTAACGACTTGGTTATTTTTTTAGAATATTACTTCAATTTTTCAGTGACTTGCAACTTATTGAAAGTCAATATATGGCAAAAGATCTTGTTTTATCTTTCAATAGTCGTTCCATTCTTATAAACCTCTGGTTGTTTTGAATAGTGAATTTCCTTTTTCCTGTCCTGTTATTTAACTAACTGGGAGTTCAATTTATCTGTAATTAGCCATCGGACGTAATCAAATATGAAATATGCTTGCATAGAATACAGTTTCCTTCTTAAATATATATTTTTAAATCACAACCTGCTTGCATTTTGTTGTAGTATGTTATTCCATTTCGATAAGGTAAAAATTTAGTTAAATTGACAATTATTCTAGGATAAAAATCTCTAGGATATTTTTCTCTAGGCTAAAACTTTTTCTCTTAATTAATATTAGAAATATAATTAATATTAGAAAGATTTTACAGATGCTCATAGACGAAATGATACTTATATTCTTGATTTATAATTGATAATTTAAAATTTAAAATTGTCGTATTTTCAAAATAGGATTAATAGTAGGTAATATATGAAACGTTTCATTCGTCAATAACTTATTATTAAATTATTTACGAATGATTTAAATTTGGAGATAAGGGAATTATAATTAAAATTTTTGTATTAGATGAAGATATTTAATTAATATCTTATTAATAGGTAGCAAGTTTTGTTTAGTTGACAGTCTTATATAATGTTGTTTACGAGACCTGAATTATAACAATTGACTTTTTTAATATTTGTATTTTGAAATTTATGATCTTACATGTATGCAATTTGATTTATGATCATCAATTATGTATCATCAACGTATGCAATCATCAACGTATGCAATTATTGAATTCCAAAATTAAAAATATTTTTTCAAATTACGAGAGAGAATGTAATGTGATATATTTTTTTTAGACGATAGATGTTAAAAATTATTGCTTAACTTTTTCGCTAATGTGGACAAGATTATTTTGTCAAAACTATGTTGGTTGCACTACTAACCAAACGAGATATCTCGTCAACGATATTTCACAATCTACATAGTTGTGGCGAGATATCTCGTCCACAGTAAAAAGGGT